GATCCTTATATGATGTTCCAGAGTCCTTGAACCTGGTGTTTTATCTGAAATTTTGTGGGGTTTGGCAAACAGATATCAGAGAGGAAATATTTTCAAGGAAATAAAATAATACTAATTTTACCTTTTTCCTTTCTTTCACAGTAATATCTAAGAGTATCAGAAAACACTTAGCTTTATGGGGATGCCTTTAAAAAAAGACTTTAAGCAAACCTAATGCACAAAGTTTGCCATTTTTAAGTGCCACTTGACACATCTGCAGACCTCCACTGTACTGTTTCCATTGTGTCGGAAAACTAGTAACATCCCTAGTTTTTTGTTAATTAATGCATGATCTGTTTAATTCATGACTGGACATCTCCAGTGTCTGGTTGCTGCTGTGCAGTTCATTCACTCTGTATCTCGAGGAATCCCGAGTGCTGTGGTTGCTGTATGAGGTGGGTTCTTACCTGGCCTCTCTTCTGAGCCTGTGCTGTGTGGCAGGTAACAGATCCCAGCCTAATGAGCCTGGGGAGCTGAGCTTTCCTGGGAGCCAGTCCTGGTTCAGTGACCTGTATTACCCAGTGTCTCATTTGGCAGAGAATTAAGAAGGGAGCAGACACCTCATCAGCAGATTTTCCTGAGTACAGACTCATTTTGCTACAATTGTCAAAGTCCAAGGACCCTCCAATCTGACTTTTTAAACCTCATCTGTCACTGGACTATAATTGGTTTATAAATTGGCTTAAAGATAATAACAGAACTAACCTTTCTACACAAAAAGCACGTCTACAACTATCGTAAAAGTTCTTACACAAAAAGCATGTCTGCAACTATGATAAACTTCACCAAAGCTTAAAAAGAATAGTCCTGAATAATACATGAGTCAAACATCCTCATGAGTGATTGGTGGTGGGAGGTCAGTGCTGGCCCACGTTGCAGAGCAGTCAGCACTGAGCTAACTCACACACCAAGGGCAGAGCACTCGTGTGGAAGTTGTTGTTGTGGGGTTTGGTTGGTTTGTAACTGCTTTATCCCCTACAAGAATGCTGATATGGTGTTTGACTTCTCCTGCTTGCAGCAGGGCACAGAGGTCTCTGCTGGACCCCAATAATCCAAAAGCTGAAGTGCCTGAACACTAAGGAGCCTCCATTAATCAAGGATCCTTTGCACAGAGTGTTCATTCAGCACTGTTCAGTGTTGTTCTTCACACCTGCAGGCCTGCAATCTGGAGGGCAGATTGTTCCCTGGCTGCCTGCAGGCTCTTGGGTGGTATTGTTTTCTTTAACATGCTAAAGCTGTCCACACAGATGTGAGCACAGACATCTGAGCAGAACACAGACACCTCTGGGCTTTGACAGAGGGACACCTATATTCTCACTGCAGGTCCTTGGGCCACTTCCAGATTGTTGAGTTGCACATCATATAAGAGTACCAAAAAGTTCTGCTCGTGGTTTCTTATCAAGTTGTCCAGTTGATGAAGCTATCAACTCTGATATTCAAGTTTTCCTCCTTTTAATTCCTTTTTGCAGCTATTGGAAGTTCAATATCTACAAAGGAAAATTGGATTAGCAGTATTTAAGAACTTCTACTCTTTGAGTATACTTACTAGTTATGTAAATGACATCTGAGTGCAGGGATGCAGTCAGACCCAGAGACAGCTGGGCTTGCACAGCCATTGTATTATAAAGATTTCAATTGCCAGATAAAACTAATAAAATTCTAGTTTTTAAATAAGTTTAAAGCATCATATATTTTTGTTTACTCTATAATAAATACATATAAGTATACTTTTGTATAAAATGGACAAAGACATCTTCCTTGAATTATGATAGTTCCTTTTTTCGGTGGATTTTTTCTATACTTTTAAATAGTTGCCTTAGTACTGTAAAATAGTTATTTCTCTTCACAAAAGTAATGTTTTTTTAATATTATAAAGGCAGTAGAAAATATTTGAAGATTTACATTTAGACCCTCTTTCTTTGTCAAATAACATGTTTAGGAAATGGGTAGAAATCTGTTTGAACCTTTTTATTAATAAGTTTATTCCTAGCATGGTGGGAATCCTCTCATATCAAACAAGACAAGGATATCACAATTTTTTAAGTGAAGACCAAAAAACCATTCCACTTAATTTACTGTCTCTAGTCAGCTCAAAATATCTTCCTATTTTGTCTTAGCACTCAAGCAATAGTCTGTATCTGAGAGTTTTATCCAGGGCTTGTAGGTTAAGGGCTTGGAGGGGGGTGGTCACCACCCCATAGTCATAGTAGAATAAAGCATGAAGCCTGACAATAGACTAGAAAGTGCAATTTATCTGTAAACCCTTTGCTTTTTACTTAAGACTATTTGAATACCTATTTATTTGTAAACCAAGATTTGTATTATTTAGCAGGGTGCCTCCAGCAGAAGCTTAATTTCCCTCTGCCCAGAGCTGCCCCAGTGCTGTCTGCAGCTGTAGCAGCATCGGGGAGGCAACTGGAGCTGATATGTTTCATATTTCTAGCAAAGCTTGTGGCACTGGCTAGATGATAAAAGAGTTGTCCAGAGCCATTTTGTTGGGCTCTGTCTGAAGCACCACCCTAGCTCCAAGAGAGAGCCCAAAGCTGCAGATTTTCCATTCTGCCTCATTATTTATTTCACAGTAGAGCTTTTTGTTGTCCTCAGTCTCTAATGAAGCAGATAAGATGAATAAAAATCAAAACAGATGGGGAATTAAGAAGGCAGAAGGAGAGGAGAAGTAGTTGCACTTTAAGTCAGTGAGAGAAAAAGAAAAAGGTGGGGATGAGGGAAGAAGAAGTTCTAATGGATTTGCTCAGTGCCTAGAAGTGCCAACCATGGCAGTCTTTCCAGCTAGGGCAATAGGGTCATTAAATAGCTCTGTTAAACTTCTGCAGACAAATAGATAGGTGGTTTTGGTGGTTTTATTTCTGATTAATTCAGTTTAATATTTGTCTCTCCTTTTGAATCTCCTCCTCAGTTTGATAAAGGTGACTGTGTCTCTTTGAGTGGAGTCTGTGGGTTTGGATTGAGACCAACAGTGCCAGCAGAGCTGCAGAGGGAAGCTGAGCTGCAAATAACAGACACCTCAGCTCCACTTCTCTCAGGCAGCTCAGCTTGCTGCAGAGCATCCAGGATGTGGCTGTGTTTTGTCTTCCAGCCATGGAGTTCTGACCTTCATTTTAACAAGAGAGGGTGAGGCTTCAAACAGTTGACCAGGGTCAGATGTTGTTACGTGTGGCTTTGCAGTTATGGTGACTTGTAGTAATACTCAGTTAAGAAATCATGGGAGAGATCTTTAAAGAACATCTAGTGTCCTCAGAAAGAAGATTGAAGACTTTTAGAGCAGTTAGAGTTAGCTGCAAACTGCAAAAGCTGAACCTCGACTTAGACATAGAAATTCTGTATTCCCACAGCTATAAAACAAACAGGAAAACAACTGTGATTCAGAAATACTTTTAGTGTGATATGTGTAATATTGATGTGAGGGATTGTAGTGATTTCAATTTATCTTTCAATAGAGTGGAGCCTAATGCGAGAGAGCTGTGAAACACAGGTGAATCTAGAGAAGTGAAAATTGCAACACATTCAATAATCACAAAGATAAATAATTACAGAATATGTTGAACAGTTGTCAAAGAACAGCTGCTTATAGTTGTATTGGTTCGTATTGAATGAAAAATCTTAAATTCCTTTTTAAAGTAGAGAAACCATAAAAATACCACATTTTGAGCAAGAAGACTGCACACATTCGGTGGGTGAGCATCACGCACTTGGGCACTGCTGGCCTCTGTGAGGAAGTAGCACCAGGGGTTTGTGTGTGGTTCTCCTGTGGCCTGTGGGTCCCTGAGAGATGGGATGGGGAGGGGGCTGCCTGCTCACTGATTGCTCACCCAGCTGTTTGCCAGCCAGAGCTCATGGCAGCACAAAGGTACATCAGCTGGACAGGATGCACAGAACTGAGCAGCCACTTGCTGCTGTTTGATTCTGATCTTTATATCAGAGCCACAAAAGACAGCTGAGTGCTCTCTCCAGGCACTCCCATAGGATGATTTTATTTCCGTCTTTGATGCCTCAGTACTTTCAGCGAAAAGTGATAATGTAATTAAGATATGACATTTATCTTCACAAGACCCTAGAGCTGCATGTTTAACTGGATTAAAGCAAATGGAACTTGGTGGGAGTTTGGCCTTAAAAATTGCTCAGCTCTTATTTGTTTAGTCATGCCAAAATTGAACAAGGAAAATATTCTTCAACTGTACCTTAGCCCTAGTTGTCTTGACTCTGCAACTGCTGCTCTGTTGATGATGACTCAATGCCATGGTGAACTAATTAGGACAGTACTTTGTTACTAACAAAAGAGCTGCTTTCTTCCTCCCTCCTCTCCCCAGCAGTTTGTCAAACAAAATTGTATCCTATACCAAAATAATAGCAACCTAATGTATCCTGGCACTCTGTCTCTAGTCAAACAACAGTATTTTGTAATGCTGTTTCAGTACATGTATTAGAGGAGTTGTGCTTTACACAGCCCATTAACACAAGGGAATCATTAATTTCTGGAGAGTGTCTTTGCCAGAAAGATGTGGGCTTTAAATCTTCAATGTACGTAGAAAAGTAGTGTCCATGTCAGATGTTCTAAATGGGTATGATCATTCTTGAAAATAAAATGATAGTAATGTTCTATGCTCTGCATTTAAAAAACTGCAATCTTCTATGGTTGACATTCTTAGAGGAGACTCACGGATGCATTTACATGTGTGTGGACATGCTTAGATACAGTGTATTAACAACTTTTAGTATGGGTCTGGATCAGAAGGTGCTGCTGTTTTTCTTTGTAGTTTTCTGTACTTCACTGACACATTAAAATAGTTTTGTCTTGTTTAAAGTATATTTCATGTAGTTGCTCTTTCTACCTTTGTTTTTTTAATAAACAAAGGGCACATGTGTTACATCTGTTTTTTGAAAGTTGTTGTTAAAAAGCGTGCAGCAATAGTTAACTCAGCTGCCTGTTTCTGCTCTCCAAGGGGTGGCCTGGCCTGATATGCACCGTCTGGCTGACAGAGTCCATCTGGAGGAGCTGACTAGAATTGGCATTCTGAAAGGCAATGTGGATGACATGGTGAAGGTTCATCTGGGTGCAATATTTATGCCACACGGACTTGGACATCTACTTGGAATCGACGTGCATGATGTTGGAGGCTACCCAGAGGTTAGTGTTCGTCCATGCTCAACTCCCCTGCAGATTAACCCCCTCAGTTCCATCAGCATTGCTCACACTTTGTGTGGCTACCCAACTGCATCTTCTCAGAGATAGAGCAGATGCATTTAAGTGTCTCCTTTTTTTTAGATGTGGTATTTTATGCAGCTTACTCTAAGGAAATCTATTAGTTCATTGAAACATAATTTTTTTATGGGAAGAAGTCAACTGATGGTGCTCTTTGGGCATTCTTAACCTGTTCAATTTCTAAATACACTGTGTTGTTCCTCTGTGAGTCACTGCTCTGACAGGCACTACCCAAGTACCCTGTGCTGTGGCAGGGCATCTCAGTCTGCCTGAGTCCTGCATTGGCAAGGTTCACCTGCTCCATTCCAGATGTGAGGCAGCTGCAGGAGCATCCTGCTGTAGCTGGGCAGTAAATCCCAGGGGCTGTGTCACATGGAAACAAGCTGGCTCATAGCCCTGTCTCGGGCTTTGATGTCCAGTGTCAGCCTGGGCACCTGTGTAGAAAGAAGAAGCAAAAGAAAAAAGTCCATCAAGTCTTCCAGTCCTCGCAAATACGAAAGCATAACCTCTTGTATTCTGAGTTTCTGCAGAAAACACAGAAGAATTGTCTTTTTCCTTGAATTAATTTGGTTATATGATCTGAAAGCAGAATAGGTAAAATTCTGTAACCAGTTAATGGCAGTAGGTCTGCAGTGATAACTAAATGAATAAAATCTCTAAGGCAAATTGTACTTAAGGTTTGACTAAAGAAAGTTTACAGCAGCTGTGGAAAGATTTCAGAAGGATTGTGTTTTTGTTAGGATGTGGTTATTTGAGACTACATGTTTAAGGATTTTCAGTAATACAGTACAAAAATGTATCATTTTTCTCCTTTCATATGTAAACTGTTATTTTGCAAGAATCTGCAAAAGAAATGAGGAACTTCATAGGTAAAGTTTAAGCATATTTTGGTGCTTGTTCATGTTGGGTGACCAGGTTACATAACAGCTGCTATTGCTGGTTCATTTTGCAGGCAAGGGAGAAACAGTATATAATATTTGAGGATACTTATTACATTCACAATGTTGCGATACAATATTGTGATCATGATATATTAGCATCAGCTAATGAACTTACATGTAATAAAAATGAAACAAGTCAAAAGCAGCACTATTCTGATTTTAAAGTTTCTGCACTAGCTGATACAGAAAGGATGGATGCTTGTCCCTTTGTTGCTCCCAAGTGCATTCTCTCTGTACAAATAAAGATATCCAGCAAAGCACAGGGACTGTGGTTACTTTGAGAGTTCATAAACTTTAAAATCCAGGACCCTGCTGTTGCATGCCTTTGCTTAGATTGTTTTCACTTGTGCTGTGAATAACCTTTCTGAATTTGGTGGACTTAAAAAATAGGAGCATGTGTTCAAGATTTGGTAGGGTAAAGAGATAACTAAATTTTAGGAACAAGTGGGAAGAATTCTGGGAGTGCAAAGTACCCTTCTTGGTTTTGCCTAAAAACTTTGAGGTTAGATCAAGTACCTTTTCTTGAGGTACCTATTCTTTGTACCTATTCTTTGAGGTTAGATCAAGTACCTTACTGTCAAGGGAGATTGCTAGAACTGATTTTGTGTGAGTCTGAAGCAATGGACCCTGTACACCTTCCATCTCTCAGCAGATTTCAGTGGCCAACAAGCTATGGAATCATTTTTTGACAATAGTTTTTGTTTTTATATGACTGAATTTATAATAGTTATTGTGTGGTATATTATATAATTATAATTTCATTTTTTGAAAGCAAACGGATCTATCCACAATTTTGAAAGAGCAGCCTGTTACAGATAGAAATGGATATAGGGACTGTATTATCAAATGAGTTAGGCTCTCTAGTTTCATACTTACTGTCTGTAAAAATGGCAGAGCTCTACACAGAATTTTATATCTGCAAATACTGAAATTGTTTGTGCCAGCATGCAACTACATTCTTACATGAAGAATGTTTGCATGGCTAATTTACTTTAAAAATCTAATCCTAAATAGCAAATTCCTTGAATATGAAGCATGTATGAAAGCTCACAAATGGCTAATGTTCTGTAGTGTACATAGATGGGTATATGGCATCACTTTGTGTGAAAAATGGTGAGTTGTTAATGCAGCTTTGGTGCTTGGGGTCCATCTGACCCCCGGCTGCCACTGCTGTGGGTGTCCCACAGCGCCGGGCTCTGGGCTCAGCTCCCAGCCAGGGCAGCTCAGCCAGCAGCTCTGCAGGGATTTCAGCTCTGGGAGCTCAGTCCTCAGGAATTTCAGCCATGGCAAATTCAGCTCTTGGTGATTTCAGCTCTGGGAGCTCAGCTCTTGGTGATTTCAGCTGTGGTAAATTCAGCTCTTGGTGATTTCAGCCATGGTAAATTCAGCTCTTGGTGATTTCAGCCATGGTAAATTCGGCTCTTGGTGATTTCAGCCATGGTAAAGTCAGCTCTTGGTGATTTCAGCCATGGTAAAGTCAGCTCTTGGGGATTTCAGCTCTGGGAAATTCAGCCCTCAGTGATTTCAGCCATGGTAAATTCAGCTCTTGGTGATTTCAGCTCTGGTAAATTCAGCTCTCAGTGATTTCAGCTCTGGTAAATTCAGCCCTTATTGATTTCAGCTGTGGTAAATTCAGTTCTCAGTGATTTCAGCTCTGATAAATTCAGTTCTCAGTGATTTCAGCTCTGATAAATTCAGTTCTCAGTGATTTCAGCTCTGGTAAATTCAACTCTCGGTGATTTCAGCTCCGGTAAATTCAGCTCTCAGTGATTTCAGCTCTGTGCTTACCAGTGCCTTGGCAGATGCACAGGGGTAGAGTGTGGAGAGGCTGTATGAGGTTCCCCAGTGGTGTCCTTTAATTTCAGCTCCTGTGAAGGGGACAGTGACATTTCTTCTGCTGAACAGGGCAGAGATGGGGGTTTATATAGGGTACAGGGGTGTTGGAAATTGTCCAGTGGCCAGGGTTGAGGAGAATACGACCTGTAGCCTTACAGAGAGATAACAAGGGTCTGAATGCAGAAGAGGGGCTGCTTTGGTCCAGTCACCATGACTAGGAATTTCTTATCTTAGGTGAGTGACCGCCAGGGAGGCCTTGCAGGGCCTCTGGCTGCTACAAGTTCTGGGTTCTGCAGAAGAGCAAGCCCTTTAAACTCTCTGGGTGGCATTAATTCCACCTCTGGTAGACCCTTCACTTCTCTGGGGCCCAAAGCAGGAGGCCCTTGACTGAGATGAGGTACCTGGGTGTGGGAAGGACGCTCCAGGAGCCTCTCAGGGAGCTGGACTTCATCAGCCTTCTCTGGGCTTGAAGCCCTCATGGGAGCCTGGTCCCTGCCCAGGGCAGGGGGGCCATGGAAGGATGCAGGGCATGTGGCTCTGCCAAGCTCACCTGAACACGAGCAACTGAGCACCTTTCCTGCAAGTGGGGGACGTGTCTGTATTAAATGGGAGAAGGCTTATTATCCGTGCCTCATTGTTTCATGAAAAAGCACATTTTGAAGTCATCTAGTACACTCTGGAGTGATTTGTGGTGCATTCTGAATGTTTACCAGCTAGGAAGATCTTCACAAAGGTTTTTATAAAGCCATTATGGTGTTTATTGTACACTGAGCCCATGCCTGTAGTATCATGTTCTTTTTTCTAGTTGGTTAAAAAGCAACTTCTTTGCTTTTGGCTGAGGGAAATTTCTGGGAGTATTACAAACGATTTTTTAAAAATAAAAACTTTCCAAGTGGATATTATTCCATTATTTTCCTCAAGTGTAAACAGTTACATTTGAAATAATACAATAAACGTTAATTTCCTAATTTTTACCCGTCAGAAAGTTTTGTGTGTTCCAAAAAAACTATTTCCAGACATTGTTAGCTTAGATTAGTTATTCATTAGTAGCCAAAGATCTCTTTTTTTCAAAATTGGCAATAATAAGTTTTCATCTTTTCCAGTAAGCTGCTTTCGCATCCAGCATTGAACAAGCACTTTCTTCTTCTTTGAAAAATGTTGTGAATGCTTGCAGATTTTCTACAAAGTATACTCTGGGATATTAGAAAATATAACATTTCCCTTTCCTATTTTTTGCTGTGATAAAAAACAACTGGTTTTGGCCAGCAATGAACGTGTTTTGGCACACTTATTTTAAGACAGCATGTGAGCACTAGTGTGAGCAGTGTTTTCCAGTGAAGTACACAAGTAAAGGTGCTGGTTTGTTTGCAGGAGGACTGAGCAGCACGAGTCCTGGGCACTGCGGCATTCCTGGGGAAACTGAGTGCCACATTCTGCCAGCAATGAGTGTGTCTTGGCACACTTATTTTAGGACAGCACATTGACAGTAGTGTGAGCAGCAGTGTTTGCCAGCAAAGCACACAAGTGAAGGTGCTGGTTTGAGCAGCACGAGCTCCCTGGGCACTGCGGCGTTCCTGGAGAAACCAAGTGCCACATTCTGCCAGCAATGAGTGTGTCTTGGCACACTTATTTTAGGACAGCACGTTGACAGTAGTGTGAGCAGCAGTGTTTGCCAGCGAAGCACACAAGTGAAGGTGCTGGTTTGAGCAGCACGAGCTCCTGGGCACTGCGGCATTCCTGGAGAAACCAAGTGCCACATTCTGCCAGCAATGAGTGTGTCTTGGCACACTTATTTTAGGACAGCAAGTGTGCACCAGTGTGAGCAGCAGCGTGTCCCACTGAAGGATGCAGGTAAAAGTGCTGCTTTGCAGGAGGACTGAGCAGCAGGAGCTCCCTGGGGACCGCGTCTCCTGCCGGGCACTGCGGCGTTCCTCAGGGACACCGAGTGCCATGAGTTTTGTCAGCAATGGATGTGTCTTAGCAGCCTTATTTTGTGACAGCATGTGAGCACCAGTGTGAGCACAGTGTTTCCCATGAAGCACACAAGTCAAGGTGCTGGTTTGCAGCAGGGCTGAGCAGCAGGAGCTCCCTGGGGACCGCGTTCCTCGCGGGAAGCCGAGCGCCGCTTTGAAAATCCGCCCGTTCCTT